AAAAATAATATGCTTCAGGCTGGTGAAAAAAAAGAAATTGACTGCACAAAAATTACATAGTTGCAAGGTGCTTAGCTTCACACTCATAGAGATAGATAAAAATATATCTGGTTTTGTAGCTGTGACTGAAAAAATATCTAATCTCCATAGAAAATTCCAGGTCATCCCCCTCCCTGTTATTTTCTCCTGGAATGCTCATGTCTCTTTTTCACCCTTGCTGCAGCGAAAAAAAGTACCACATTATAACAAAGTCAAAACTAGAACTATTTTCATTACGCATGTCTTTATGGTTTATCCAAAAAAATAACATGTATTGTATAATTGCCTAAAATTTAAGAAAAACTGTAAATTTTATATCCACATGTATAACGTTGGATCGGAAATATCTCCGCCTCCAGATATTAAGTAACAAAGATTATTAATTGAGTACCATAATAAAAAACACCTAACATAATTTGGTTTTGATATCAAACTCCAGTCTGAAAAGAATGGATTCTTGGCCAGACAAACCAGTGATTGATATTATGAGCCACCTCCCAAACCCTTGGTCTGAGTACGACACACAATCAACCTACAGGGTTCACTCTAGGAATGTTCTGACATGGGCCCGCATGGCTCCAGGCCATATTGGGGTATGTTCGGATGAAAATATGCACAATACGGTGGGGGATAATTTAGAAAACATATCAGATATGCATCACAGCATAAATGTACGGTCTAACACTCATTTACAGACATATTTCACAAAAATTATATTCCGATTTCAAGCAGCATATTTTCTTCAGTATGTCGACTCAGTAAAAGCCATATCAGTTGTAGTTTGACTGTTATAATATATCAACATATTGAGTTTTTGCGAGCGCAAGCACGGGAGCCTTGAGGGTGACTGGTTAAATTGTTCCATACATAAAAAATATCCTGCAATAGCAATCTACTATACCAAAGTGCTATGCTTATTATCCCCCGCCATGAAGTGGAAGGGGGATATAGGAATGGGTGCCGTCCGTCTGTCCTTCCATCCTTCCGTCTGTCCGTCACATTTCGTTTCCGGAGCAGATCTTGAAAACCGTACGATATTTCTTCACAAAACTTGGCACATAGACACGTCTTGTGGTGAGCTGGCGCCTTTTGATAGTTTGGGATTTAAAAAAAAAATTATTTTCGAGTTTCCATGGCAACGACTTTGATTTAGACTAAAAATGGCGGAAGTCCTCGTTTCCAGAGCAGATCTTGAAAGCCGTACCATATTTCTTCACCAAACTTGGCACATAGATAGGTCTTGTGGTGAACTGGTGCCTTTTGATAGTTTGGGATTATACAAAAAATTATTTTCGAGTTTCCATGGCAACGACTTTGATTTAGACTGAAAATGGCGGTAGTCCTCGTTTCCAGAGCAGATCTTGAAAACTGTACCATATTTCTTCACCAAACTTGGCACATAATGTCATCTTGCAGTATTGAATACATTTCCTTTCTTGTTGGAAAGTTCTGCATTGCTTGTATGTATGTTCCTCCAAAAGTGTCATGGACACGGTGTGTTGCATTCACTGACTAACTTCATGCAGAAACACAACTCATTACAAATACAACAGTGTAACTGATCTTAAACCTACTCAACTGTATAAACACTGCCTCCTATCCTGTATATATTCTTGTCAACCATACTCTGTACTTCACTTGCTTGATAAAGGTGTTAGAACCTACACCGAAACCATCGATCCTAATTGTAATAAAGAAGTTGTTTGTCCATATGTCTCATCCTTACTCATTACAAATACAGTTACATATTCTATCATAAACAGCAGATGGCAAAACAACACCAGTAATAACTTTCTTAGTGCTGCAATTAGGCCATTTACAAAAAGGCCCAGTGAACATAGTTCACAGGAGCTAATGCATTGCACACAACCGGACATGTCATACTGGCGGGGGATAGGAGTATTTCATGCTCAATGGGTTGCACACGGGTTGAGCACCCACTGAACACACATGTGCAACAGATGTGCAGCGTATGGGTCACTTGTTGCACACATGTGTGCCATGCGTGTAACACGGGTCCGGGTTTCAGTTGAATTTGACAAAAATATCAAATGAATAGTGCTACATTTATTGAACATAAAGTAGTTCAATATCGTTAAGTATTATTCTGTACAGTAGTACATGGCAAAATATGGAGATCGAAAACCGAACGAATATGGTTGCTATCAATTTCATTGTATTTTTCATTGGTGCACACTGGCTACTCCTATCTCACCTTAATAATCAACAAATGATGATCTACTCACTGACAATATATTGAAATAACTTTTGACTATCAATTAGCTTATCACCACACAACCAAGGACCAATTACCGCAAACACCCTATACACATTATAGCGTGCGACGATAGACTGGTTTTACTTTTGCTTCTTTGCATTAGAAGGGAGTCGGATATATTTATTGGAAAATGATGAATTGATTCTTTTGGGGAAATATTGACCTACACATGTAAGCGCCTTGCTACAATATAACTTTAGACAACACCATCAACCAGATTAACCATACTTAGGCCAGTTCAGTCCGGGCTAATTAGGCCTATTTGTAATTAACAAGCATGTTTCTCACTCTTCCCTAAAATGCAATTTAATAACATCATTTAGCGGCAACCTACAGTTATTCGACCTGAGAATACTTCCATTGTTTTGATTCCCTCTCTTCTCTGTATAACATTAACAGAAATCTACTCAACATTTTCCAGGGACTGAAATGAGCGAAATTGTTTCACAAAAATCAAAGTCAGTAGATTAGTATGTGTACAGTAAACTTTAAATAGTAATGATTTCAGAAATAACACGGAAGAAATTGCAATAACTGTCAGTAGTCAGTAGGCAACGCATACGATAGGCCTATAGGCTACGCTTATGATCAAAAACAGAACGTAATATGACGGCCACAGAGTGAATTCTGGTCAAACGTACACTGCTTGCCCTTGATAATTACCTTTTTACTCAAGATTATAATATGGAAAAAAACCTTGGGCCTCCTTCAACACTATATACATGTGTCACAAATATTGATATCAACACTGACGCTCATTGAAAGTGACCAGCAAAGTGCATTCTAAACCCCACTACTTTTGAGTAACATGATACGTTAATCATTTGAGGTGAGGTGAGGTGAAATTGGGTTTAACGTCGCGTCCAAGATTATTGCACTTATATAGCAACGTGCATGCACGTGTGTGTGTGTGGCTGCTTGTACTAGTCCGTACTGATGCTGATTTATAGTGCTAGCTCACTGAGATACCATGTCGCAGTTTAACATGAATACCCCACTCAGACACAGTATACTGACTCCGAGCCGACCAGTCCTTGTTTTAGCCCCTTTGTTCTGGCCAAGCGCCAGACAGGGTAACAACAAGTACCATCTTTTAACGTCTTTTGGTATGATGCGGCCGGGGATCAAACCCCGAACCTTCCGCTCTACCACTAGACCACGAAGCAGTCTAATCATTTGACTATCAGCATGTACAGAAACATAACAACTAGCGGATACTGCTTTTGAAAAATTAACTTATCTCATCCGAATTTACAGATCAACTATCCAGGACTTGGTTGTAATAATATATCCAGAGTGAGCTTGAACTAGCCTAAGATAACTGGTGATATCATATGTTCTGCGATAATGTGACACCATTCTTACATTACTTCATGTGGCATCTTGGCTTTACTTTTCAGCAGTCACTCTCACGCTGCCAAAAATGTGCGCCAATTATTTGACTGTAATATTGCTTGTGACTATGAGTAAACAGCTAATAACAAAACATGTGGACTTTTATCTTACTCATGTAAGCTTTATTGTCATTAGACATTTATCAGAATACAGATTACTTCTTACACAGATATATGTGTTTAAAAAATAAATAAATTAAGAGATGGTAGATCAGCAAGTGGATTCCTAAAGGTAATTTACAAAAACGTTTTGTGATGTCCAATGCACAATGTTTTCACAATGTAAATTTGCAATGTTGTTGTTACGTTGTGGTTAGTCCACAACGTAACAACAACATTGCAATGTAACAATGTAACGTAATACTAATGTTGTCAGAGAGATGCAATTATGTTTTGGAGATTTCAGTATTAAGAGATGAAAATCAAAATGCCGAATATATAGGAAAGTTGTGCATTACTGCATTGGTACTCGATGAAATCAAGTTGATTTTGATGAAGCAATTCTATTCCCATATGACTATCAAGAAGCAGACTGTATAAAGTTTCACTGATGTTTCACAAACATAGTTAAAAAACATTGTGTGATGACCCATGCACATTTTCACAATGTAAATTTGCAACATTGTTATTACGTTGTGAAATAACACAGTGACAAAATGTTGTGACAACGTTGTATCATGACATTGCCAATCCACAACCTTTCCACAACATTACTGTCAGCTATTATGGACTACTATATGCAAGATCCCACCCAAAAGTATAGTGTATTCTGGCTATGATGTAATAGAGGTAGGTTATTCAAAGGAATTATCAAACAAATGTTGTGTATAATTCAAAGAATGCTGCCTCTAACAAATCAGGATATGATGTCTCCTACGTCCCCAATCTCTCTGCAACTAGTGGATGTAGTGATTGGAAAAAAGTAACATTTCCTGCCGGGTGCACAGGGTTTTGCACAAGGTAGGACTGGTTGGGTAGGGTGAAGAGGACATTTGTTGAAAATCGAAGGAGAATTTTTGGTGTGATGTTAGCCAAATTGTAGGAGTATTAGCTATGATGTAATAGAGGTAGTGTTTTTAGAATTATTCACAATGATAACAAATTCAGTGAAGGTATAAAATCAGTGTCCAGTATATTGAACGTATCATTGTTCATCTCCATTATATGGTCCTGAAAAAGCAAAAAGTATCCTGGAAGAAGAGTATGAAGACTACCGAGCCTCATGTCTCTAGTTGCTTACAAGGCCCTGATATAAAGACAGTGCAGTAAACCAAACATGTTTTTTCCAGTTACTCTACAATCCATCAATGGCTTCTCGAGGGCAGCAGGAAACAACCAAGCTGAGGCAGAATATGGAAGAACAGCTTGATCGCCTCATGCAGCAGTTGACTGACTTGGAGGAATGCAGGTAATGCACTACACATGATTTTCTCTTTTTCAGTTGAGGAAAGTTATGAAGCGAAGTTGTCAGGCTGTCAACAGAATACTACAGATACGTTGTGTAAAGATAAATGCACCTGATATTCCTTGGCATATATTTTAACCAAAATTGCACCAAATACTCAGAAAACCTGTGTCATGACGAATCCTGACAATTGGTCAGGTTGAACACATCATCAGCTGGTTGATCATTCGTTTTCAGATATATTCAGAAAGTGATATGGGCTGAATATGAGTCTCTCGGAAGTTCCCTTTCGCAGCAGGATTGTTGACAAGCTGAAAAGAAGATGTTTTACTGCTCTCTGAGACTGCTACATCTCCACTACCCATGGTTACTCTATCTTCTTCGGGCTGGAAGCCTCTTCCAGTGTCTACCCCTCTAAGATCAGCCTCCCCTACGTCTCTTCTATCTATGTTGATGGGCAAACACCTCACCTGTACAGGTGATGGTGTCTACTCCAGAGACGACAGTTCTCCAGATGCCAATGACCACACTGACGACTACGCCTATCTGCACATCTATGACTATTTTGGCGCCAATGACCCGGGGATCGGCCTTACTGCAAGCATACCACCTGTCTCAGGGGTTTGGACCTTCACTCCTGCGCAGCTACATGGCACTGCCAGCGCTCCTGGCACCTCTGGGATTCTGGCCCCGCCCTTGCAGCTGGCACCTCAACAGCTCCTCCAGGCTGCGTATATGGATCACTCCTGGTTGCAGATGATGCAGTTCATGTTCCAGCAGAGGCTAGCCTGGGCGTGGATAAACGAGACACTATTGGTCAAAGCCTACCTCCATTCCGCCAGACCCGATCTCCTTGTGGTTACATGCTCTCATTCTGCAGATTTTTGACACCGCCAGATTGGATGACCCCCCAGGGCCATCAACCCTCAAGAGATGAGAGTTGTTACTGGACATACAATTGGCTTTCATATAACATATTCTTCAAGCCCTTGGCAGCGTTATTCCCATGGTGAGGTTTCTGTGAAAGTTTCTGCAAATTCTCCCTGTCTAATCCAATGTTGCATAGTACTCTTGTAGAATTTCTTTCATGTAGCTTCTGGTAGACGTGATCTGTACCCAAAGCTGAAAATCATCACAAATTCACGACTTATTGACATTTTACCGAATTGTCATATGCTACTGGGTACCCACCCCAGGATCATCGTTCACAAGACATGTCATGTCACACATTCTCTAGAGAACTCGGAAACACCACTTGTCTGTCAACCCCACAGTTAACAGGGGATTGTTTGATTGTGGAGCTTGAACCTCATCTCTGGTAAAATGCAGGGTTCTAGATAACTGAGCAGTGGGATCTACATGTCACGTGTCCAGAACTCTCAGACTGTATAATTCTTCCCATGACTGTTTTGTCGACCTCCGATGACTACACACAGTAACGAGGCACCTCCCTTCATCGTCACCTCAAAATAAGAACGGGGGTGCATATATGACACCCAAGGAATGAAAATGATCACCTTACTTCATATGATGCGATCTTTCAGACCAAAGTTTTACATGTATTCAACCTTATCTACTGGATACACTTGTCAGTGGTAAGTGCTCCTGGGATTGCTCATGTCAACCCATGATGTGACAAGCTGAGATTGACTACACTTACTTGTGATCCAACAGTTCCTGGTGCCTTACAAGGTAGGTCACGACCCTTAGCCTATCTGTTGCTCTACCCCTTCCCCTCAGGAGTCGTTTCAGCCGGTGGACGTTAGAGTCCAATGTGTAAGGAAGCAACTCCTTAACAGAGTTATCCCCGATGTCCCACCTGTTTTCGTAGACACCTCTACAGGTTGATGTGCACATCTAGAGGACCAGACGACATCAGGGCCGTGGTCCAGTTCACAGAGCACTTGATACATTAACAACTTTGAGTTGAAAGCACTCAGGTGATATCAAACTGGCAGAAGCGCCTCCGGTACACTCAACTCGCTGTCTCCACCAACCTCACGGTGGTCTGGTGCATGCGCCATCAGGAGATGACACACTCTCACTCCCTCCTTCAACAGATGTTCCTGTTCTTGCATCTGATAGATCGGCTGGGCCAACGTGTTCTGGACCTGCACTTTCCCGGATGTTGGAATGTTCTGGCAGATCCAGGCCAGACAATTTAGCTCCCTCAGAATGGAAGCTTCCTCCCAAGATTTTTGTCTTGTGTGTCATCACCTAAGCCTTCCCAACATTGCCCTTGTCGCCACTTGCTAGAACTACCTGTTCTCACTTTTTGTCTCCCCGATCTCAGACCTGCAGGCTTGGGCAGTGGACACATTCAGAATCCATATGGAAGGGCTTAGAGTGTACACTTTTCCACCACCAGTACTTCTTTCCAGGGTCATGCAGAAGATCAAGGCAACCAAGAGCATCGCTCTCATTGTCATCACGTCTTGGTCACCGGCGAGAGGGTGGTTAAACGCCTCAGAAGTCTTGCAGGAAGCCATCCCTTACCTCTGCCCCAGTGGTCCAACCTACTCAACCACTGCACAGCAGGTTACCACATCAAACGCCAAGCTGGTGAGAGCTCAAGTCACAAGAGGCTTTTCAGCACTAGCAGTTGCAGTTGAGACCATTGCTATGACCTTCGAATCGAGATCTTTATGATGATAGGTGGCATTCCTACGAACATTTTGTAACCACCTCCATGGTTTGATAAGGAGTGCATGTTTTTGAATTCGGAGAAATACAGACTTTTGAATAAATTTAGAAGTTGTAAGTGTGATTCAAACTTAAAGCAGTACATATCAACCAAAGATGTTTTTAAGAAATGTTGCAACAAAAAGAAACTTAACTACGAATTACATCTAAATGAAGAAATCAATACCGCTGCTGAACACAGTGATTGTAAACAGTTTTGGAAGACAGTGAAAAAGTCCAAACAGAGACGTCCACTGACAAGTTATATATCTCCAAGTGACTGGCTGATTTACTTTAGAGATCTTCTTAATCCCTTACAGGGAACTGATAATAATGAGTTTGATTGTGTTGTGGAGGAGTTTCTGCTCTCTCATACATGTGATCACTGTTATGATTTACCCTTTTCGGATGAACTCCTGTCAGGTGAGGGCACTGACTCGGACACTATCAATAATCTGAGTACGGGCAAGTCCGCAGGTGAAGATGGGATACCCCCTGAATTCTTTAAACTACCATCGGATGTCTTTGCACCATACTTGAAGTTATTGTTCAATAAGATTTTAGACATGGATCTTGGAATATAAGTCTGATTATTTCATTATATGAATCTGGGTCAGTTTGTGAACCAAGTAACTATAGAGGCATTTCACTACTAAATGTTGTGGGGAAAATCTTCACGTCAATCATAGAAAAATGATCGAGAATATGGATCGAAGTAAATGATTTACTGTCCGAGTCCAAGCAGGGTTCCGACCTACCTACTCTACTGTTGATAATTTGTTTGTTTTACAAGCTCTTTGTTCTAAATATTTGTGCAAAGCTTTTGACTATGTTAATAGGAAAAAGATATTGTATTTACTTATTACTAAAGGATGTCATGGTAAAATGTCTGTACTTTAAACATCCTCCGGTGTACGACAAGGTTGTGTTTTTTAAGTCTGTTGTTGTTTTTATTTTTTATAAATGAACTTGCTATAGATCTGCAAAATAGTTGCCAACATGGGATATTTGTAACACAAGAAATAATGGCCATTATGCCTTCTCTTTGCTGATGATGGTTCTGAAATATGGGGTGCTAAGTATTACGCTGCAATTAAAAAGTTTACACTTCATATTTCAAATGTTTTCTAGGTGTTGGTAAGTTTGCCTCAAACAAGGCAATCCTTGGTGAAACAGGCTGTAGTAATATTTTTGTAGCCAGCCAATTAAGGGTAATTAAGTATTGGTAATGGTATTGATAATGGTAAAAATAATTGGGTCACAGATGTGAGAAATCTATTATTTGTTATATGTGGCTTTTCATATGTATGGATTTGGGAGATCCACAGTTATTTTTATATTCATTTAAGCAAAGACAAAAGGATATATTTTGTCAACAGTGGCACCAAAGTATTTCTGAATCTTAGCAATTACAGCAAAGTAAAATCATTGTTACCAACTGAAAGATATTTAACTTGTTTAAATGGTAAAAGTTTAATAAGAGCTTATTTTAAACTTAGAATTTCATTGCACAATTTTAATGTAAATGTATGTTGCAGGTACAAAGATGGTGATATTGTGAGCTCTATTTGTACAAACTGTTCATCCAGAGAAGTAGAAGATGAATACCATGTCTTACTTATATGTGAAACGTATATACATTTGAGGTATAAATTTCTCCCCCATGTTGCAAGGTATTTTTGAAAGATCATCAGTTAATGATAAATCTGCTAAACTCTGAAAATCCTGATATGATCCATGCTATTTCTGTAATCATCACATTCAAGAAGAACATGTATTTCTAAGGCAACAGGATCATACATTCTACACTGTGAGATGGAACAAACTGTCTGTTTACAAAGGGGCATAAATCGTGTAACCCTTCTTGCATACCACCAATAATATTGTAACCTCATAAAACTATGAAGAAATTGTACTGCATAAGAAATGAGTAATAGAGAAATGGATGGCACTGTGAAAGAAATTAGTTTTTAGATCCCCACATTCACCTGATTAATTTGACTCATGCTGCCCAAATATTATATAAGGAAAAGGCCCAGTTAGGCCAGGCTCCGCTATCATGCATGAAATTAAGACAAGAGATGTTATTTGGATGAAATGGTCGCGGATGTGGAGGTACCCACCCCAACCCATGTTGCTATGCAGCTAGCGCTGCCAGGCAAGTACCATTGACAAACATTGAGCGAGGGCAACTATTGTTGCCAAGCTGACCATCCTCTGTAAAGCAGACACTGAGCTCTCTGCTGTTAAGGAGAATGGATAAATTGGTTTCTGCTGTAAAGCGGGCAACCCTATCCTATATAATTTATAATTTGGGATGA